CAGTCCTGCTGAGTTCAGTCGGGCCTACTGCGCAAGTGACATTGAGCTCCAGTGTGCTGGGTCACACATGCATGTTTCCCACTCTGTTTGCAGAGTATTTTGCACATCAGCCTGAGCCATCCCAGATCCATTCTGTACAATAATGTGTGCCATGCAACACCTCCTGACTATCTGTGGAAGTCCTCAAAGCCCATTCAGGGAATGCATAGGGCAGCACAGGGCTGCTGGTGGGGGAAGAGAGTCTGATTCCCCCTCTCCCACAGTCAGTCAAAGCCAAAGGTGCTAAGCCAAAGGTGTGGCCCCTTCCAGACAAATGAACAGATGGGAAGGGGAGATGGGATGCATCCGCGCATTCCTACGGCCTGAGAAGGCCCTTCAGTGCTCAGACATACCTGCACAACTTCGCCACATGAATGAGAACCCTGCCACCCGCCCCCCTCCACACAGAATCATGACTAGAACCTAGATGGCCAGTCGAGCACGTGTAGCTTTTCTCTGCGTGATCAGATTGGGGCTTTGCTCAGTTGCCCATGAGGAACCTATAAGCACATGGCTATTTGCACATTAGCTCCATCCAGAACTTTGGATTAATGCACAGTGGCTGGAAATCGAGCAAATGATCTTGCTGCAAGCTCATCCATTGTTTTAGTTCTACATTTCTTTACGGTTTTGTTTTATTACTATCCTACATTTCTCTTCTTGTATGGAATCTGGCAGCTTCCATACAAGTGGCCCATTTCTGGTCCCTTTCTGTACAGACCAGAAAACAGCTCCTTCTGGCTCCCAGCATCCTCCTGCCCAGAAGGAATGGCAGTAAATGTAATATATGCTTACTAAGAAAAGGCTCCCTCTATGGCTCATGATTTACTTCAAACCATCCAGTTCTTTGCACTGATGTGATTATGACACATCATACCCTGCTATTCTATACATGAAAAGGTCAATAAGCCCACAGCTCACCAGTCTTTCTTGGCGGATTGATACATGGAGAGGGTGTGGGTGGATGAGCGGCAACAACCTGAGCAAACGGGGCTCAGAAATGTATCACCTCTGGTCATTTCTTCCTTGTAAGAGCTGAATCTACACCTGTGCTTTCCATCATCCCCACAGCAGGTACTGTGCAAATTGCTGCAGCAATTCATATGGTGGGCCAGGAGAACGGTGAGATCAACAGCAGCAATTCCAGGAAGCATCAGCAAGCAAGTTGGCCTTGTAATGGGAAAATTGTTAGCCGATAGAGGATTAAGTTGTCCTGGTGTGTAACACTGTTCTCCATCCACAACACAGGTCAATCAGACCTTCTGTGACTGGAAACAGAACCGAGGCCAGGTTATCTAACAGAAATTTGGAAGGGACGACTGCGTCCCACCTCGTAAGCAAAGACTATAAAGTAGAACTTGTTTTATGGAGGAACTCCGTTGAGACGAGTTTATATTTAGGAATGGTGATGCAGTATAACGTTACTTTTAAAAAGCAATAAGCAATGCATCTTTCCTCACAAAGAGCAACTAATGGAATCTGAAAATGGTTTTTATTACAGTTAAGTACCATCTATGAAATACTAGCTAACTGCCTAAAGCCATTCCAGAATGCATCTTTAATGGATGGAGACATCAAGGAAATAATTATTTGGGATCTATTTGTGGCCAGATTAACCCATTACTTGATTGTACAGGGGGCCCAAACACCCTACTCCAATTTTCATTGACCAGTGTGTGTGTGTGTGTGGGGGGGGGATTGTCAACTTTTAATTAATTAGGAATTAGGTAGCCGGGGTGGGGGTGCATCTCTCCCTCTCTCTCTCTCATATTCTTTTGGCACTTATTAAATATACATTGTATTGGAAAAAGGGGGTTGCAAACAAATGTGCATATTTTGCAAAGTTGTATACAAAGTGTCCATATTAAAAGAAGCGTGCACAAAAAGGTATATAAATTTATATGCAGACTTTAAAAAATCCTTAGTGCTAAGGCAAATGCAGTTTATGATTGGAAAAATGGGAGATTGGGAGAAAATGACATTAACAATGCATTCACCCCTAGTGAATAAGAAATAAACAACATAACTCCCAGTAAATTTATAGACTCAGAGAATAGTAGAGTTGGAAGAGGCCAGAGGGCCATCAGGTCCATCCCCTGCTCAGCGAAGGACTCCAGGTGGCTGTCCAGTTCCATCTTGAGTGCCTCCCATGTGGGAGAGGCCACAGCCGCCCCAGGTCATGGGTTCCATTCTCGTACTGCTCTAACAGTCAGGAAACTTCCTGATAGCTAGGTGCAATCTGGCTTCCTGTAACTTGACCCCGTTATTCCGTGTTCTGTTGTAAATTGACCCGGATCTAGTTTAGTTAGTTGCTTTGCATTCATAACTGGCACCTGTCAATCACAGCATGTTGGCCAGATGGTTAGGATATGTTTTTAAAATTCCCTTCAGCGAGAGGAGCCTAATTAAAATTTTTGTTTAGCACAGGGACATTGTGCCTAAGTGATTTCATAGTCCTCGTTACTCAGCAAACTTAGCTATTCAATGTGCGTTGGGTGTGGGGAAGATTTCTTCTATTTTTGAGGTTGCTATGGGAATCTTGAATTCAAGAATAGCACCAATCACCTTTACATGCCTTATGTATTATTTAGATTTGGATTATTATCCTGGGCTTTGATCTGTCTACCAGCTATTAGAATTTAGCTTAGTTTTAATAGCAGTTTGTTACCACAAGAGCCCCATCCATGCATTTGTTTGACCGTGTTCCAGACCAGACATGCAACCCCCGTGGCCCAGTGCGGTGGCACCATCTTCCACTCCCAGCCGGCGTGCGTTCAGCTGGAAGCCCTGGAGGGGGATTGCCAATGTGCCCAGCTGAACAAGCTCAGGGTATCCCTTTAGGCCCTCCTGCTGACTGTGCGATGCCAGGAATGTATAAGTTGTCTAAACGAAATAAAATAAAAAATATAAAAACAAATAAACGGAAGGAGCTGGGTCTACATGTGTGGGTGCACTGAGGCAGGGCTGGAACACGCACCCACATGCCACGTACACGTGCTCTTTCTTCCACGTGTTCCCTGAATGCTGGATAGGGCTGCAGTCGGTTGTTTCTTACGCTGTTCCCTGCTGCTTGTTCCGGTCCAAGCCAACATTCTGGTGTCAGTCTCTCTCTATTTCAGCGTGCTTACACTAGTGAGGAGTCGGATGTGCAGCAGGCCCTGAATTCCATGGGTATTTTTTGGTTAGGGACCAGATCCCTCCAATATCCAGCCCTTGCGGCTGCTGTAAAATTTCCCTCACCTTAGGAAGTTTGGGGAAAGTGGTTTGCAGGCAGGGCTCATGTCCAGGTCTGGTGTGAGGAAAGTGGCTGCTAGACCCCATCTTGCTCCTGCACACACCTGTAGAAGCAACCAACCTGTACAGAAGAGGTGGGGGATATGCCAGCCAGCCTTCTCCAGCCAGCCGTGTCTGCGCTCAGGCTGATCCTTTAGCCCGGCTCCTCCACCACCATGTTAAGTCCCTTGCTGGCAACCAGGTGTGATGGCAGCAGCACCAACCACTTCAGGAACTACCAGAATTTTTGAGAAGCACTGCGAGCACATGTTCATCCTTACCAGCACTTTTGGAAACGTCAATGTGTTTAGGAAACATCAAGGCTCAGCAATCCTTGCCAGTGCATCAGGGAACATCGGACCTTTCCAGTTACCACAGAGGGCTGGAGAGGAAGCAGATGGTGTCAGAAACTCCTGGCATTCAGGGGCTGCAGCAGGACCGGGCTCAAAAGGGGGGTGCTGCCTGAGGCAGGCGAGGGGGGCGAGAGGTGTAACTCCGTGCGAGAGGCAACTGCACATAGGTAAGTATGATGAATATGTGGGTGGGTTGTGTGCCTGTGTGAGGAGAGTGTGGCTGAATGGTGGGTAGCATGCATGTGGCCCTGGACCCTCCCACTTTTCGCTGGCATGTAGTCCCTGAACGGTTACACCTGAGGGGATTGCTTCAGCTTTGCCATCCCTGCTGCACCTTCTGCAGCGACTGGGCTCCAGATTCCAAGTTCCAACTTCTCTCCCAGGAGGCTCACACTGGCTCCAGACAACCCAAGCGAATGCAATCCAGACTGCCTTGCCACAGGCAGAAAGCAGGTGCCCTGCCGAACTCTGCAGGGGACACAGACAGGGGATCTGACTCACACACACTCTGGGGCAAGGCAGGGCTACGACTACAGCAGAAACATCTCTAAATCCACCGTTCAGTTTCAGACAGTGGTGATACACGCCATTGTAGTCCATGGCAAGAGTCCCGGACTAGGAGCAGGGAGGCCCAGATTCAAATCCGAATTCTGGCTTGAGGCTCTCTGGGCAACTGTAGGGCAGTCGCTACTTCTCCAGCTATCCTACCTCACAGGGTTTAAATGCATCTGCTGGCAGGGGTGCATGTGTAGCAGGGGAAAGGTTCCATATACTGCCTTCGAACACAGTGTGTGTGTGTGATATATATGTATATGAAAGCCAGTCAATATTTCTCCGTGCATTTTCCTTGCCACAAAGAAGGTCCAGGAAACCTTCCCTTTGACACGATGGGGCAGGAGGCCTTTGGCCACTTCTTCTGCTCCCATGTCTTTGCAAGAGCACAGTCTCTGCGGCGTCTGGTACGGCCGGAGCAGCGATGGGGATCTCGGCAGCCTCTCCCCAGGCGCAATTTGGTAGCACTGCGGGAATCGCATGCCTGCTCCTGCCTGTGCTTCTCCCTGCCGAAGGAGCGGTGCCGGCAGAGGCAGGCAGGCCGGCAGGCTGGCTTCCCCCGCGCTCAGGGCCCGTCCGAGACGGGCTCTCCCCACATGGCTCTGCCTCTCCCGCAGCCGCTCCGAGCAGGTGTGACATCACCACCGGCAGCGGCCAATCGGAGCCCCGCCCCGCCTCCCCCTCGCGAGCCAGCGCCGGAGCGAGCCGCCGGGCCAGGCGCGCCGCCGTCCGTGCTCAATCTGCGTGGCCGGTGCAGCCGAGCGCCGAGTTGCTAGGGACCGCGAGGCTCGGGGGCCGCCGCGCCAGCGCCTTCCTTATGCAGGGCATGGGGACCTTCCGGCTGGGGAGAAGGACCGTGATGTACACAGTGGAAACCATTCCCAAGGGGAAGAACCGAGTGCTGGGGGTGAGTGACGGAGCTGTGCGGGGAGCACTTGGGGGAGGGAGCTGCTTGGGAATGGGGGGGAGGTAATGACTAGGCTGGGATGGGTTCCCTCGGAATGGCAGCAGATCTAACTTAGGAGGAAGGGTGAGTCTGGGTGTTCCTTATTTCTCTCTCTCTCTCTCTCTCTCTCTCTCTCTCTCTCTCTCTCTCTCTCTGCGAGGGAGGAGGCGGGGAAGGAAGAGAAGAGGGAGATGCTGTTGTCAGCGTGGATAGCAGTAATGGTCTCTTGAATCAACCTGGGAATAGATGATAGCCTTTCTTTCTCAGATTAGGAAGAATTTATGGCCCATTTGGTAGGAGCTCATTTCTGAAAGCAGGTCATTCTCGGGAAGAGCTTGACCTGTCAGGTGTGCTTTGTGTCCAAGCATGCACACACACATGTGTGTTGCCATGCTAAATATTCCCAGGAAGCTGTAACTAATTCTGCAGCCACGAAGCAGAGTAGAAAATAATCTGCGGAACCCCCCTGTTTCTGGCATGCTGAGTGCACTCGTCTCAGTAGTTGGGACACAGACTTCTGCATCGGTTTTTAGGACAGTGGTGAGCTTTACCACCTCTGCACAGAGATGGGGGACTAAAAGAATGGCACTGACCTAAGAAGAGAGTATTTATAAATACAGATGTCAACTGAACACTTTGAAAGCGTATGAGAACTGCTTGCAAGAGAGAATTTTTGTATTGATGGATGTGAGCTTTGAAAGTTGCATCACAATGCTGTGTTCAAAGGCAGCCCATCCCCGATGGTCAGCACTAAGGACAAAGAAGACAATGGGCCATCACCTTTATGCACCACTTGTGAGCTTTCCGGAGGCATCAGACTGACCGGCTGCTGATGACAGCTGAATCCTGGACTGGCTTTGGCCTGATTCAAGCAGTCCTCACTATATGTGAGGGTGCTGGTGGTACAGATGCTGTTCAGAAACCTAACCTGGGTGTCTGAACCACTAATCCTCATTTTGGTGTCCTTGTGGCTATGATTACTCTGTACATGCCTGGAGGCATTCTCTTCATTATTACTCTACCTGCTCCAGCAAAAGATCAGGCCCAGCAGAAACCTGGTGACCTCAGTCTCACAATAAGCTTTGCCTCTGTTTATGGAAGCTTTGCCATATCTTCCATTAAGGGCAGAGTCCAAAGAAACTTCAAGTGGATCTATGTGTTAGTTAAGGTGCTTCCATACCACTTGACATCCCAGGACCTCCAAGCAATTCATATAAAAATGGAAAAGAAAGAATGTCAGCATTCCCCCATCACTACTGACAACAGTAACCTTCTCCTCACCCCTCTCTTCCTGACTCTTCATAGAGCCATGGGGGAAAAAATACAGAGGTAAACACTTGGAGGAAAGGAGAAGCTCCAGGGCTGCTCTCAAAGACCACTTTGCTGAACTGCCCTGCCCTGCCCAGAATAATGACTCTTAGGCTGGATTCTATGTCATGGCAAAGAATATTCTATTGCTCCATGTAAACCGATTTCCTATTCTGCTGTAGTGAGAAGACAAAAGATGTGGGAGTGCTGTTAAGCCAGAACTTAGGCAAAAACCATTTGGATCTGCTTAGAAATGGCCGTGTGTACACACCCCAATGCACACTTGTTTCTATTGGTTTAGAATCAATCAGAGACTCATGTATGTGACATCTGCTAAGGGAAATTCAATGGTTCATCCAGGTGTTTAGTGCTATTTTACCTGCTTAAAATAGGTTGCTCTTTTGCCGGGATTTCCCGGACCACCAGCACTGATTCACCTGAGGATGAACATGTGGGCTTGGGAGGCATCAGCAGCACATTGTTCTGTCTGAAAAGAACTATATTTACTCATCTTTCCCAGCTGTCCCAAGAAGTTGGCAGAAATGTGATCCATTTGGGGTGTCTTATTTCTCTTTGAATGCACACATGCATTAAACTAAACCTTGCCCTTCGGTAAAATGGGGGACACATGATTTTGTTCAGCTGATTAAAAACAAAAAACAAAAGAAAGGAGATGGAGAGGAAGGCAATATCAGGTTACTTCTAAAGCCAATGTAGAAACATTGGCCAGGGTTGTTGTCCCAGTATTGCAGCTGTGTGTTCGTATGCAGCTTGTTGCCTATTGCAGGAAAACTACCTGTTTTGAGCCAGACAAACTGCTGCTCCATTAAATGGAACTGGATTCATCAGCAGGAAATATGTTGGTATGGTGGCCGCTTAGATTTTGCCAGAAAGAAATGTTTACCTAGAAAAGAAGACACAGATGTGCACATGCTAATCTCTATATATAAATGTAAGTGTAGAAACCATTATGGAAGTTAAATGGACAGACAATACCTCTCTCCATAAGCGAAGAAGATGTTGACCAGGTAATTGGTGTGCCTGCCCAACCTGCTGTCCAGGTGCTAATCCTTGATCATTAACTCCCCCTTTCCCCCTTTTTATAGCTCTTTATCTTTAAATCAGAGGAACCCTTCAGATAAAGGACATTTTCAAATAGAGTAATGCCCTCTGACATCCCTTCAAACAGAGTTCAGTAGAGTATATGGCCACTCTTGATGCAGCTAGAAATGAGCGTATCTGTCAGTTTTGCTTTTTCCACACTCACATTTTAAAGATCACAAGTCTTTTCTCTACCAAACACCAGAGCTTTGCACATCTGGTAAATGCTTGTGCTTAAAAAGTGAAATTAAATGTCCAGCTATTTGCACCAGCCAACTTTATGTAGCATGCAGAGAACCGGCCTGCCATACAGTCGTTCAAGCTGAGAAAGGAAGCCAGTCCCAAAATAGAAGGGCAAAAACATGGCTGAACACGCCAGGGCCCTTTTCAGACCAGGGACTCTTTGCCTGGGTCCAAGACAGACAAATCTGTTCCCTTGCTTCCAGATGTTTCAAATCTCAAGTTCTTCTTGCCCCAAATAGAGAGAAATTTGTAAATGTTGTACCTTCTTTCCAAAACCAAACTAAAGCAAAATTTTCATCCATCCCTAGAAGTGGCCCAGCTGGTTTATCGTGCATGGTATGCGCTTTCACCCCTGCCAAGTTCATCTGTGTTCCCTCACTTTAAAAAGTGGTCCAGCAACGCTTAGTGACTCCTTTAATGTTTGATTTGCACTTGTTATTTGGAGGATCAATAGGAGACATGTAGTGCCGTCTTCCCCCACACGGACACATGCGGTTCTCTTCGCCTCTTGTAACATCCTCTGGCTTCTATCTCTTTGCTGAACTGCCTTCTGAGGACTGCCACCCACTTCCATGGTTTTCTGTGCTTGAAGGCCCTGTTCCTTCAGCTGTTTCTCAGCTGCTGCCAGAAAAGAAGAGGATGGTCTGCAAACAGCCAAGGCCCCCAGACAAGCCCCAGCTTGCTCATCAAGAATCCTTTCTGATTTTCCTGCTCTCTTCTAGGCTCCAAACAGCCACAGCATTCCTATGTGGTACTTTAAATAAGGGATTTTACCGCTGGTCAAAACTGCAAGAGGCTTGTCTTACGACACGGCTGCTAATTCTTCAGCTAGAAAATGGTGGGGATACTGTTCTTTCCCTTTTCTCACAAGTTGAGAGGATTCATATTTTTATAATCCACTTCAGCTGAAAAGGAGATTTTAACAGAGTCCTTTTCACAGGTAGCACACACGAATTATGGAAATGGATCCAAACGGCCCACACTACCCCCTGTATGCGGAGGGAGAGAATGCAGCAAATATTCTTCAGTGACCCATTCCGGCTCGAGTTGTGACCCAGCTGTTGCCGGCCAGGGCCTCAGCCTGCCACATTTTTTGCTGAACCAGGAAGGAGATGAAACCAGGATGGTTATAGGGTCCCCTGCTGGGGAGGCTGTAGTTCAGCTGGTTGAGCCACCTATCTCGCAGACCTATTCTGTGGCCTCCCATAATCTGGCTGGCCTGAGCTAACTCAAAGTTAGAAGTACATTACACGCTGGCAGACCTTCCAACACTCAGGGCCATCTAATCAAATTTCCCTCTCCCCAAGTTCCAACTCCTCCTGACCCTGAGGCTCACCTGGGTCAGCTCAGTCCAAAGTTCAGTTTTATCAGGTGCCCTCCTAAGTGTAGATCAGGGCGGCTTGCAGACCTTCAGGTCAGGCTTCTTTCAGCTAGCAGGCGGCATTCTCACAGATATTTGGGAAGTACTTGGAACATAAAGATCTCCTGAAACACAAGGGCAACAGCTCAGCACAGTGGAAACCGAGAAGCACCTACTCTGGAAAGGTGCTTTGCAGCCAAATGAATACTGAGGATTCTGTGCTTATAAAGAGCAAGCCAGCAGGTTCCCTGGTGTCGAACCTTTGGAGCCAGAATCATCATGAAGGGGTTTGTGTGTGAATTTAACCTGTCGCGTGCCAAGTATTGTTGCCCTGATTGTTCCCACAGACCATCCAGATCATGACTGGCTTCATACACATTAGCTTTGGGATCATTCTCAGCACCCTGACCAGTGTGTATGCCTCATTCTTTGTGTCTGGAGAGATCCCCTTCTTGGGAGGAGCATCCGTGAGTATCACAGACAACCCCCCTGGGTGGATGGGGAGTGAGGTGGAAGAGCAGGAAGGCAGGCAGGAGTGGCGAGGGGTGAAGAGGGGGACAGGATGCCATCCTCCTGGCAGGCCATGTGTGAGCAGGAGAAGGTGATGCTGTAGGAGGGGTGGAGCTGTTGAAGGAAAGCTCTGCCAAGCCGCTGAAAAGCTCCTGCGCTGGTGTGGATTGCAGAGCAATCCCATTGAATTCAAAGGCGCTTATGCCTGGGCTAGTGAGGATAGGGTGCCAGTGCCAATGGCGTTCGCAGCCAATGTTGAGGGATGAAAACTTCCGTTTGTCTGGCTTCTGATGAAAACACAATGTTTTATGTCTTTCCAAAGTGTGTGATCCATTTTGAATTTCATTAAGTGTTTTGCCTAAGAGTCCTATGTGTTTGAAAATACATTATAATGTTGGACTTACTAACTCCCATCCTCCCTCTTGAAGTGGCCAAAATTCTGTGTTTCTTATTGTGTTTTATTCATTTTAGTGTGTTTTCACTGAAAATGAATAATATGTTTTACTACATGTCCTGTTCATTAAAAATGTAAAATTTTATCAGACATATTGATGGGAACATTCTCTCCTGCTCCTAGAGAAGGGAGGGGTATCTATTTTTCTCTAATATTGAAAGATACTCAGAGATAATTCCTTGGAGCAAATAGATCCTGTGCTTCTGAGAAACTACCATCTGGGTATTAAGGAAAACAGATGCAGCCAAATGCAGCAGCTGGACTAATATATGGACTAGGAGGTCCAAGCATAGGACACCAGCTCTGACTCACTTGCAGCAGCTTCTGAGCTCAGTTCAAGGTGCCGGTTCTAATCTATAAAACCATACATGGCTTGGGACTACAACACCTGATGGAGCACTTTGCCCAGCCTGAAACTGCCTGGATGCTGCACTCAATGGAGGCCTTCCTCCAGGTGCCGCCACTGAGGGAGGCAGGGAAGCTGGCGAAAATGGAGAGGGCCTTCTCAGTGGTGTCCCCTCCCCAATTTTAGCATTATCGCCCCCAGGCCCATCTGGTGCTAACACAGATATCCTTCTGGTGCCACATTCAGACTGCCCTTTTCTCCAAGGCGTTCCGAGCATTTAATGCCATATGGGATGGTTTATTCATTTGTTTTTAAAGCTGGCCTAGCTGTATCGGGGAAAAGATTTTAGCTGCTCAGAGTGTTTTAAAATTATTTTTAAAATTTTGCACATTGAATTTTTAATGCTGTTTCTATTGTATTATAGTTTGCATTTTTATGGATTGCAATGAACTTTGCAGAGAGTTTGACTATTGGGACATATGGAAATGAAATGCAATGGGATAAATAATTTTATAAAAATTCCAAAAGCTGTTTTGATGTCAAGCAGTCATGTCTCAAGATCTAAAGTCACAATATTTTTCCCCCTAAACAAACTTTGGTTTTACATCCTATCACCTAAGGATGCTTTTATTTATTTATTTTGGATGTAGTTGCCTTGAGTCTCCCTCCAGAGTTACATGGAAATTCATGGAGGGCAGGCTATTTTTTTCCAGTCTCTGAGGCACAAACTGCTAGCTACATACACATAGATTTTATGAATCCCCAACATCAGAGATTCGCTTTACTTACTTATTTAATGAAATGCACTATTGGAAAGGTAAAATATCATATAGGATATATATAAGGAGAAATGGTGCTTAACCTTTTCCCTGTCAACACTATTTTTCCTGCTCAGAATCACCCTTCTGCTTCACCTCCAAACAGATTCCCAGATGGAAATATACAAATAGATCCCTGTGGAGGAAAAAAAAAAAGTGTGTGTGTGTGTGAGAGAGAGAGAGAGAGATTTTGAATAGAAAATAGGTTAGCAAGGGAAGGGCCAAGCACATTCACAAGGTTGTCATAAACCATTATCAGGCAATGTACAGTAGTCCACTGATACAGTTACAGGTTAGATGTGGAGCTGAGGCTGAAGGGCTTACAAAAATCCTGCAACATCGTCTTCTCTTGCCCCATATTTGCAATGTGGAGAAGGTAGGGGATCCCACTGCAAGGCTGCCACAACTCAGTTTCTCCCTGTTACATCCGCCACTCCCCAGCCTGCAATATAATATCTATGAAGATATTAGGATAGTATAATATAGCATAGTATAATAGCCATGAATTTGTATTTGTATTTTCAGCACATTTTAAAAGGGTATAACAATGATAGCAAGACATTTGCAGTTTTCAGATGAGATTAAAAAGAGTTGAAAAGAGCACAAGGGCCATATCATGCTGCCTAATCCCAGTTATTCAAAATTGCTGGGTTTTGTTTTTTTTTTTTTTTTATGGTTTCCTGTGGGTGGCTGTCACTTCTGTCTGGCAGCGGGCACAACTGGCTTGGATGCTCCATGCTGACACCCTTTTGTGTTGTTTTCACAAGAGGAATGGGAGGACGGGCATCGCCCAGCTATTCAATTAATGATCTGTGGCTCTTTGCCTTTGACAGTGTAAATTATGCAAGGTATCTGCCAACATGCTCTGCACAGATGATTCATCTTGTAGAGAAACATCCTGATATGTTTGGAGCAGCCTTCCCCAACCTTGTGTCTTCCAGACAAGTTTGGACCGCAAGACCCAGAAATCCCAGTCAATGGCCCTACTGGATGAGAATTCTGGGCATTGCGGTCCAAATGCCTCTGACGGCCACCAAGTTGGGGAAAGCTGGTTTAGAGAGTTCAAGGATGGCAGTTCTTCATTCTAATCTCTGGCAACCATAACTTTGGGCACCTGCCTTCAGACTCAACCCAGTCACTGATGTTACTGAGCGCTGTTTCAGCCTCACCTCTGCTGCTCTTAGATGGTCTCAGCAGGGCAACAGAATGCTTTCCTTCATCAATGAAGGACAGGAAACGAGAACCTCATTCTTCAGCCTACAGAGATCAAGACAGGAAAAGGACAAGGAAGCCATGGTGTAATTAGATGCATTTGCCACCTCCCCAATCAACTAGAGTTTTGGGAATGGGTGACAAGTTGGGGATACTGGTACCTATGTAGGGGAAGGGACACTAAATACCTCAAGGATCTCTCTGCAAAAGGGTGGAAGGTGTTGCTTATCCCCTTTCATGAACAAAGATCTCTCTAGCTTTGCTTTGACTTGAGGACTCACCATTTGACAGCTGTCAGGGGAAAGCAAAGTAGAAAAAACACTATCTGGAACCTCTTTTATTCAGTGCTCAGGGTTGGTACCTGCTGCACTTGACAGGCATTGCTTGGGCCCTTTCCCTCCCCACTCCTCTCTCTGCTCCCAGAATTTTCCTAAGGCCCTTCTTGGAGGTTGCCCTCACATTGGAGACACAGCTGGTGTATTTTTTCTGCCCTGACTATAGGGTGGTGGAGGGGGATCCAAGCCCAGATCCTCAGCAATGAGGTAGGAGCAATTTTCTGATAGCTTAGAATCCAAAGCTCCTACAGCCATCTGGACACTGCCCAGCAGCCCAGCTCACAGACGTCCTTTTTGCAGAAAGGGCAAATGATGCCTTTTCCATCACCAAATTTAACAAATTCTCATTCAAGCTACTGCAAAGTCAAGTATGCACACATACCTAGTCACCCTTTGATGAACATTTCACCTCCAAAGTTTTGTAAAATATTTATTAACAAGTATTTTGGAGGGCTTTCATTCATTAGGTCGCCACAAGCTGGAGATGACTTGACGGCATATAACAACATTTCTCATATGGAAAACTTGCCACAATAAAATGTGGGTGGGGGTATGGTAAAAATTGTGATTACACACAAAACCCTATGAGTACTTGCAGGCAGGTTCAGGAGTGTGATTAGAGAACAAAGCCATAAAGGTGTCAAAGGTGTTCTTTGTATGTAAGCAATGGCCCCTTTCCCCTGTTGGTGATTGCTGGGTGGTTTCCTCTCCCTTTCCCTGGATCCTAATTCTAAGGAAATGCCTCCACTAGGGCTGAGTTACTGGCAGTAAGAGCTTTAACCTACATGATTCTGCAGTCTGGCCCACCCCTTTGGAATGAAGCCCCTGAATACTTCTCCGAAATGGGATTCAGGGTGAAAGAGATGCAGCAGCCCTGGCCTCCGAGGGGACCTTACTGGACCAGCGACCTGCAGGGTGGCACTTCAGAGCAGCAGGCAGGGAGCGCCCCGTGCCTGGAAGTTGCTTGCTTTAGTGGTGCAGGGAGCTTGCTCTCCTGGGCCCCACCAGCAGAGCCCAGCTGCCCTGGAGGAGGTGCTTTGAAAGCATCACAAGAATGAGGCTCCTGCCAGCCAGGTACCTGCCATCGCAGGACATTTTGCTGCCTGAGATGGAGCATTGAAGGGCACCCAGACCCAGCCAGCCAAATCAAGGTGCACTGTACCCAAAGCTAGTGCCTAAAGTTACTTGGGTACAGGAGGCCAATCAGTCAATCCCTCCAATGACTTTCTCTGGCAGTAAAAATGCAACAACAGCAAATTAAATAACCACGGAGTGCCTTTTCATCACACCCCAAAGCTGCCCCGGGGGGTTGCCTGGGGTGGCTGGTCCAGCACTGGGCTTGTCCCCCTTGGCCCTTCCTCTGCCCGCTCCTTAAAGGGCTGCTTCAGAAGACAAGATGCTTGGCACATTGTGTGGCTCGCTGAGGAAGGGCAGGACGAGCGCCTAGGGACAGTGCCAGCGCCCACCTGCACGCAGGCAGCGACGGCAGCGCTCGTCCGGGGGCCCTGTCGGGCTGCCATCTGGCTCTGCCACGGCAGTGCAGACTCCGCGGTGCCATGCCGTATGTTGCTCCCTGAGCGGGGGTTGTGATGCCAGGGCTCAGCCGTCCTCGAAAAGCACCGCCACGTGGCTCTGCCTGGGCATCCCTCTCTCCCTTATCTTGTCTCCCATCACCCTCGCACATAATGCTTCTCTGTGTGTTAGCAGCCCCTCCTGCCAAGCAGTCCTGAGCATATTCAGGAAGTGAATTCAGTGTAAGCATATCTGGGATAAGATCTATGGAACACATTTCAAGGCCTTTCTAGATTTTCCTGAGGTGTCCATTGCTGATTCAGGAAGTAGCCAACTTATCCAGGGAATAAATCAATGTCAAGTCTGCAGTGGTTTGAATATTCATAGCAGAAACCTGAAAATGCCAAAATGTAGATTTGCCCTATTTGCATTTGGCTGATTCCAACCTGGTATTAGCATATTCTGTCTCAGCCAAATAAATAATAGGCATTCCCAAATTGCTGACAAGGAAACCGAAGTTCAATTTGTGCTCAAAATTAATCATGTGGCGAGTGTTTCCTACCTGTTCTGATTAGGCCGATTTTACAGAAGCCGAGGAGAGGGGTGTTGTTCTAAAAACTCCAGTGATTACAAAGTTGCGGATTTATGGGAGAAACAGGAAGAGGAAAGCAAGAATGAGGTGCTATAGCTCAGGCTAAGTGGACCAAAGCATTCCCATTCCTGCACCAGTGAAAGTTCTCTTTTTTCCTCTTTTTCACCAAAAATTGCTTGCATATTTTCCTAAGACTGCTCAGAGCTCCAAGGACTAGAAATTTGCTTTTAAACATGAAAACTATGATTCTCACAAAGCTGCACAGCATTTCTCAGATTCCCATGTAGACAATGCAGAATGTGCAAAGAAATCTTGGCGTTTTTGTTCTTCCGATACATTTGCCACTATTAGGGCCCAATTAGATGTTCCCAGGACACAAGGCTGCTGCCCACTCATCACCCCCATCTGCAGTCCATATTTCACCAATCAAGTCTCATTAAAGACATCTGTGAAATCATGTTCTTTCCCGGCATTTCCCCAATTCCCACATTAATTAATCATCAGCAGCAGCATCCTCAGTAAAGCATTGGCTTATGTGCCTCACATAGAAAATCGCTGAGCAGACACTGCCAGGGAGATGTGGGTTACCAGCCAAGGCTGTAATATTTTATTTTATTTATTTTTCAATTTATATCCTGCCTTTTTCCTACAAAGGACTCAAGGCAGCTTACATCATTCTCCTCCTCCATCTTATCCCCACAACAACTTGGGTGTGGGCAAGAGGTCACAGAAAGGGAAGAAACAGCCGGAAACCTCTGTCCAGACCACTGGTGGAAAGAGCTTGACTTTCTCCTTCAAAGAAATCCATGGGTTCACTTTTTTTGTTTTCCCTGAGGAATGGAATGCTACACCGAGGCAGGTCCTGAAATGCTGACTGAAAAGTGCTACTTTCTCATAAGATTTTCTTTGAAAGATCATTTAAATGCACCCTCACCTGGTTTTAGGGCGGCTGCATGGAGTAAAAGCTGTCTGGGATTACCTGGGTGGCCTGGTGCACAGTCTGTGCCCCCCTCTCCTGTCTTCCAGGGACTGTCTCTTCCAAGCAGCTCCAGCAGCTCCTTCCTGTCACGTTTATAGGGCTGCCCGTGCTCACGCTTCTTCCTGTCTCCATCTGCCTCATACAGCCTATTAGCCTGAACGCCGTTTGCAGCCCACTCTCAAGCTGGAGCTTCAGTAGGTCCTGCCTGCATCGTTCTGCGTTGTCTTAATCTTTCATGTCGGAGGAGGTTTAAAGAGATGCTTAGTACGTGGTGTGTATTTAAACCTGCGTTGGGCAGAATGTGCATTCACACCACACAGGCTTCTTCTCTGCTTTCCAGCAAGCGACTAGGGGGCTAGCTCCATGCTTGCAGGGGCCTGTGTCCATGGGCCTCCAGATGCAAACTTCCTGACTGGGAGAGATGGGCAGCTACAAGCCGCCGTATTAAATGTCCCACCACATCTCTGAAGTAGCATGCCTCTGATTCTGGCTCTGATCAGCACTGATCGTGTGTTTACAGAGCACAGTTTGGGGGGGGGGTGTTAATGATTATTTAAACCGCATGCATGAAAGCAGCTGCAAGCTGTTGCTGTTGGTATGTGCCGTCAAGTTATCCCTTCCCTGTGATGAAAACACTCCGAATGTCCCGTCCTTGACATCCCTGCTTAGTTGTTCTAAGTTCAATGCTGTGGCTTCCTTTATGGCCAGTCACAGACTCTCAGCCCAACCTACCTCACAGGGCTGTTGTTGTGGGGATAAGATGGAGGAGGAGAATAATGTAAGCTGCCTTGAGCCCTTTGTAGGGAAAGGCAGGGTATAAATCGAAAAATAAATAAATAAATAAAATATTCACCTTGAAATTAACGCAGACAAACAAATGACTGGTAAAAGCTGACATCTCACAGAGATAATTGCCTTGTTTTGAGCCCTGCTGCTCTCCTGGCCCGCACTTCATTTACCACCTGCCATTTCATTGGATGCTCTCTGTTCACCAGCTTCCATGATGTCATCACATTCGGTGTTTTGTTCATGAGACTGTTGAGAAAACTGCACTGTTCAGGGCAGCCACCTGGACACTGGCATAAACAGCAAGGTGGGGGGATGGGATCGGAGTTTGTGGGGGCAAAGGAGGCGGCGGACAACGGTGCAGAAGAATTCAGTACAAGGATGATAGGACTGTGCTCAGCATCATGTTGAGCATTGCTAAAAACTGTAAGCTGAATGGTTTTGCTGCTTGCAAAACCAGAGCTGAAATAAGGCAAGGCATTTATCTCAGCCCTAAAATTAACCACATCGAGTGCACTGTGGCTCCAGGGCAGAGAATCTCCCCATGACATGTCTGAGAGCAATTGCTTGAACGATTGTGTGCTGGGGGACAGAGCAGGATGGTGGTGTCAGTAGGATCTTGCATCCTTATCTTGCATCGCCTCCTTTTTGTGGAGCATGAAGTGCCTCTAACTATTTGCCACCAGGAGAAAGTGCAGGATTGGCCTTAGTTTTGTGGCCCAGAATAGACTTTTGAAGAAGATGCTTGGGGATGTTAACAAATGAAGTGGAACAACATGAATGTTCCAAGCAGTAGAGGTCTCTTACCATCCGGCAAGTTTGTCCACCTGGCCAGTTACTGAGACACCTCACTGTATGGTGTAAAGATGTAGTAACCTCTGAATCAAACCATCCTCTTACAGTAAAGATGGTACCAGTCTTCCCCTTCATTTCTACCACAGCCATCTGAGGCAGGTCCATGGATGGTGGGAAGGACTACTGTTGATAAGGTGACGATCAGTTACATGCGTGTTTCCTTCCTCCCAAACAGTTCATTGTTTCTGGATGCCTCTCCATTGGTGCTGAGAAGAGCCCTACAGAGTGTGCCGTGAGTCAGCTTGATGCTCTTTCCCCACTGTTTACCTCTGTTCATCCCACCTGGAGTGAACAGTGAAGGTCCTGCATATCCAAGATCTGCTGCATGCCAGTGTGGTGTGAATGAAGATCCTGGTTCACCTCCCACTACACGGTTCAGTCTTGACACTCACTGGATGGCCTTCAGGCCAACCTACATCTCAGGGTCTTTGTGAGGATGACTTTGGGCACCAGCAAAAGGGGAGGGGAAGGAAGAACCCTGAGCTCCTTGGGTAGAAACATGATGAATAAATATTGGAAACTTTGTCATGATCATCTTGCATGCAAATAATCCCTGAGGCTGAAGACGGCCTCACTCACAAAATGATTTTGACTCTGATTAGATGAATCACATGGCCAGATTTCCTATAGAGTTCATAGAGTATGAAGAAAACACCTGCCCAGGGCAAGATTTGAGGGGACCTTATGCAGACACCTTGCTGAAGCTTAGTTTTAGTTTTATCCATATATTACATGCACACCACTTAATACCCTAAAAACGCCAAGTAATTCACAATACATTATGTGGGGAGTAGAGAAATATAATGGGAAGCAGGGCTAGGAGGAACCGGCAAAATATTCGAGATGTGCAAGGAATACTCTGCTGGACATTTATTAAACAGGAGATATGTTTTAAGGAAAAATGGGTTTATTTCTTATGGCATGGTGCGGATATCCTTTGTTAAGCTTATTTCAGATGCTTCCATGTAACTGAGTTGCCACATTTTCCATATGGACTAACCATGAGTTGGACTGAGTCAAAAGCCACTGCAGTGGTGTTGAGGGGTAGAAGATACGTAGACTGCTGCATCTTCCCCTCCAAGAGGTTATGCATCCAACCAGTATCACACTCCCCTCTTGCCCAGGATTTAGCAAATTTTAATCTACCCTGCTGTGTCATGCCTGCTGCTTCTAAATTAGGAGTGGGGGACCTCTTCCAGTATAGCAAAGGCCGAATTAAATTCCAGAGATGCTCTCAGCGATTGCACGACTGTGATGGGCAGGGCTGAAGCCAGAAAAATGCCAGTCTGTGCAGCTTAAAGTTCTTACTGCCAGCAACTAGGTTTTTGGAGAAACATTTCAACCCCCACGTAGGGGAAACAACTCCACAAACTAGAGGAAACAATAGGTGGTTGTGAGAAAGGAGGCGGAGCAAAGGAAGTGGGTGTGGCCTTCTGGGAGACCCTGGAGGGCTGCAGTGGGACCCTCAGGACCCTGGGTTTGTCCCTAGGCCTGACATTACCCAGCCCGGTTTTAATACTAGGCTTTGGTCTGCTGGGTTCAGGTAGCAGGACTGTGTGTGCTCCACTGACTGATGCACAGGGAATTCAGTGGGAATGGTATCCGAGGGAACATGCATGGGAAGGGGCTGCGAGGCTTCAAGCCCTGTAGCTCCAAGTCATGCATTCTTCTAGAGAGGACCATGAAGAAAGACGGTTGTGTGAGCGTGCGGACCCCGAGGGTTCCATGATGAAGCCACCCCTGCGAGGGTGAGAGGAGAGGTTGGCTCGTTATGTTTGGCTTATCAAGCACAGGAGGCAATCCCATTATCGTTGGCCACATTATCCTTCCTGTTCATGGACTTTGCAGCTGTGCAGAGTGCTTCAGAGAGCCGCGGTGCCTATTTGAGCAGAGATAACCATGGAGCAGAAGAAGTAAGACCACAGCCTGTGGGAAATATGCCTCCCTCACAGCCCCTTCAGCATGCTCTGCAGCTACATTGCCCATCCCGAGCATAAACAGCTTCTGTGGCGGACAACCCGGCTTGCTCAGAGCTTCGTAACGAAGCATCACGACTCTCATTTAATATTTGAATTGAGACACAGGGAGTCAGAATTAATTCCCAATATCTACAGGAGAAGAGTGAGAGATTATGCAAGCCCTCCAGTTTGTTAATACTATCAAGCAGCTTCCCCCAAGGCTCATGCTGAGGATGATGGGATGGGTAGTCTGGCCAGAAGTGATGGTAGTTGTAGTCCAAAGGGTGCTTTAAATTTCTCCTCCCACCATTCATTGTTTGTGTTTTTCAGGTGAAAGGCTCACAAGCCATGAATATCATCAGTGCCATCTTTGCATTACTTGGAATATTAGCTTTTATAGTTGATCTGAGCATATATGGGCCATTTCACTCAGATGATAATCATCACTATTCCCTTGTGATGGTAAGTTTCCATATCTTAACGATATCTCAAGGTCTGCAATCTTTTCCCGAAGGTGAAGAACAACCCAAAGAACTGGATGTCTGCGCTTGTCCCTTCATTTACAATAATTTCCCCTCACCTTCCTCCACCTGGCTTAACCGTGGCCAATCAGCACTTTTAACCTTCGACATGGTGAATGCTAGAAACTAGCTGTATGGCGTAAACAGGGTTTGCCAGTCAGCAATAGTGGTTAAGAGGGAACAAAAGAAGATTGGCACGGACGCATTACTTGTTCGTAATGGATCTTGAAGCATTCCAGCTGAGCCTGGAGCCAGACTGTGCTGAAAATAACAGACAGTCTGCCTCACTTCTCCCTGCCTTCTCACAATTTCTCCCTCTCTCTCTTCTGCTTTCGCTCACACACGGTGAAACCGCATCAAAGAGCTTGCATCAAAGAGTTGCATCAAGCTCTTTGAATCAAAACACAAAAGGCAGTCCTAAGTCAAATGGTTTGGACTCAGCACGGCTGACACTGTTCAGTGCGGCTGAGCAGGAGCAAAGGGGCAGCCTTACAGCCAGAGCATCTTCTCTCATACGCAGCGAGATGCTCATAGTACACCCACTTCAAAGCTGCTGTACATGACCTCTGAATGTTGCCCTTTAAATTATAGCACTTGCAAGAAGCAAGCCGCTCACTTGAAATCCTGTCTCCCTGTGTGCAGAATGGACAAAAAAAGGAAAAACCCACCCCCAGACAGCATATATGAACTATGGGAAAGGATCAATGGATCAGTTTCAGCATAATGATTGGTTTGTAACTCTGTGTGTGGTTTTTTTGGGGAGAAGACAGGCAACAGGATCACCATCGTATTGCTGACATTCACCATCGTGGAATTTGGCATTGCATCTGCCACTGCGTACTTTTGGTGCCGGGCAACCCGCTCTGACTCCAATGAGGTGACTGCACGATTCTCATCAGGATTAGAACTGTGGCGAACTGGCTTTTAAATTTCTGGATGTCTGGGGGGAGGGGGGGTTGTGTTGGGTTTTCTCTGTCTGCAAGCCACCCAGAGATCTTGGGGTGGCCTAGATACAGGAACAAAATAAATGGAGTGACTGTGCGAATGAATGAGTGCAGACCAAAGTGCCTTGATGTGGTTGCGCAAGGAGCAGTGGTGCAGCTCAGGCGGGACTTCAGCGTCCAGGGCATGCCGGGGCATTCCTGACGCTGGCCAGCATACCCTCCCTTCTTTGTATTTTTCAAGCAGGATGGACAACCAGGCATGTACATACTTATAGATCCTTTTTTTATTTCTACTTTTAAAATATATTATCCTTCTGTGCTACAAAATGTGCTTTCTCACAAATACATGTTTCAGCAGCAGAAGCAAACTCCACTTTATCAAGAACTGGTGACGATGCTCTGATTTAAGTGCATTTAAAATGAAAAACTGCACGTGCTGAGTATTTTTGTTTTTCATGTCTTCTTATTGGGAGTGGCAGGAAGGAAGGGTTTGGATTTCGCTCCAGCATATCAAAATTGCAGGAGTATTTGCAATGCATGGAGTGGTGGGGTGTGTGCGTGCGCACAGGTGTGTATGTGTGTGTGCTGGGGGAGAGGACAGCCATGTTAGTTGTGTAACACCATTAGGCCCAGGGTGTAGAATTGCCTAGCTCCACCCACATGATGGTGGTACCGCTAAGCTGGACAGATGACCTGTTTAGAGATGAACCGTATATAAATATTGTAATTAAAGTATACATAATAAATGGATGGGGGAATATTGCAGATTCTGATTTGCATAGGAATAAAGCATGTGACCAAACCAAAGTCAAGACCTGATGTAATGTTTTGACACCGTTCTTTCATAGGAATATGAGAGGTGGTTGGAGTAGGAGCAAAACTAATATGTTCTGTTTCCTAGGCCATATTGATTGAACCGAACACCATCAGGACAGACGCTGAGGTCCCTTCCGTAGAACCATCGGCAACCTATCCGCAAAATCCCAGTGATGCAAGTTATGCTCTAAAAGTAGAGACTGTGTAGAAGACTCAAGAGGAGGAATCTGTATGAAGAAATCACACCAGCCATACCTTTCTTGAGGTGGATGAGCTGGCCCTTTCCTGCATGACAGAGTTCCTTCAGTTACTGCCAGTATTCTAGCTGCCAGGCCAATGAGTTCCAAGGGACTTACCTCTCTTCTTTCTCCAGTACAGTCTCAGTTCTAGATTGGGTCTAAGAAGCATGGGGCTTGATTTGCTGTACCTTGGACTCGAAGGTTACACTCAGATTCCGTCTTGGATAGGCTGAATTCCGTGCCTGGCACATGGATCATTTACATGTCGAAGTGTTTGAAGAAAACCTTGATGCAGTGCTCAGGATGGTGGGAACAGGACCTCTGGGGACCCGAGGATATTGACAGAAGCATGTAGCAACACAGCAAGCCATTGGTGCATCTTGGCTGCCTCCGGTTGGCTCTCTGGCTGGCCCCAGTAAGAAGCTGAAGAGGCATCTGGGATTTTGATTTCGATGGGTCAGTACCCATTGCTGCAGCTGGTTTTTAACACCGCCAGACCAAACTTGAGTCCCCTGGGATGTAGCCAGCACAGGGGACTGCCTTGGATCTAATGCCTTCCGTTATTCTGGATGGAAGCACAAGTTCAGTGTAGAAAGCTGCGCCGGAGACGTATGTTGAAGTGCATAGCAAAGCAGATCGGCCTTTTGAAGCTGATCGGCAAGGCTGGGTGTTCTTGAGCACTGTCTGCTACTTTCTCCTGTACAATCTCTGCTTTAGTTTTCCATTAACTGTAAATACATACCCATTAAGGATATGCATAGAAGAACTGCTGCCCTGGGGAATGTTCTGTTAGTTTTTCCACTAGAAGGATCATCTCTTTATGATGATAGTGCTTGCTCTAATTGTGAGGTAAAGCGCAGTTTTAACTTTCTTTTTTTACTAGTCATAGCTTTGCTCCAGCCACTGGGCCAAAATATTACAGACAAAAGATAGGAAAAGCCCAGGTTAGACATTCCAGATCACCGAATCCTATTCCAGTTTCAGACTGCCATTTTAGTCTGCCAGTTTTAAACTGCCATCTAATATTTGGAGGCTTTGTAAGAACTGATGTTCCTTTTTTAGTGGAAATCAGAAAGCATTTGGCCACCATTTGCACTCATATGATGGGCGTCAAGCATTTTTTTACACCATTCCAGGACAGTGAGTAATGCTGAATCAGGCCAAGAACATGGATCCCATGACTGTTCCTCCCATAGATAACTAGGAGGAGTGAGACCTGTTGGTTCAAACCAACTTCCTAGACGGACTTTAAGTCTCACCAGCCAATTTGTCCAATGCTCAGGGATGATACAAGTTGCAGACAGAAACAGCAGTAAAGACTCCGATTGCGGGTAGCTGATTTTAAAGGAAATGTCTGTGGCCGTAAGCCAAAAGGCATTTCAGTTGAAGTCCTGCACCCAAGGTGTGTTTAGAGTCCCACTGAACTAAATGCAGCCGAAGTGTGCCTAAGCGAATGCAGGGCCGCAGCACAATCCACCAGAAAATTCTCTCCCATTCAGATGAAAAGGAACTACACAGGAATTTGTAGTGTTTTTGAAGAACTTCCTGGTCTATCATGGTCTGAAAGAGTGCTGGGTTGGATAAGTTTTTGTTTTATTTTGTTGGCTGCATCTTTTATGCGCATCTTTAATAATTCGCATTTAGGGGATTTTTTAGTCGCTGTTAGAAAACTGGGAATGGCCGATTTGGGATCAGTTCTCCTGGCTTCTCAGCAGCAGGAGTAACATGTCTTCAGCGCATGTTTTTTCATGGCAAATTTCTATTGGCTCGTTAACGCCTTCTTGTGAAACAGGGACACCTAATCTTGGGGGATGACCTCACAGAGGTCCAGTTCTTGCAGCTGTTTATCTGGCCCGGTTTAGATTTTAGATTCTGCAACTGCTTTACTCTTTCTAGGTCTGATCTTGTTTTTCATGGATATGATTTTTAAAAAAAAACAAAACAAAAATAAAATGTGTACCTGAAACAGCATGTGTGCGTCTTTTGGCTCTTCTTTGCAGTCTAATAGAAAGCTGCATCTTTCTGCAGCGACTTAGTGCTCTTATTCTGTTCAGAATAAAATAGGCCCTGGGGTTACGGTAGGAAGCCCAGTGACAATGTGACACTCGGCTCTCCTCTGGTATGCAAGAAAAGTTATTAAAAGAGGCAAGTGTGATCACTGAGACCAATGGAGTGTATGACTCCAGTTGGAGGCACTACAATATTGCAGTCTCCTCTCAGCCTGTTCAGTAAAGTGACCAAAGCGGTTTTTGAGGCATCTGGCAAGTGCCTACAATTACATGTTTAAACAGACAGTATAGACTGGTATAGGTTCAAATAGTGTCTTATATGTCTCCTGCGGAGCCGGCTGGAGCTGGGGGTCAGACTAGATGGCCCGGGAGACCCTTTCTGACTCGCTCTGTTTCTATGTTTATATTGACTTATTGTCATGTCAATATACAGCAATCACTGATATTTGTACTCTCATTGTTCTATGTACTCTCAGCAGATCAATCATTGTTTTATGTGTAAATACAACATGTTGTCATTATTCCCTCATCAGCTGCTCTGTGCCTGCGTATGTGACTAGGAGGTTATAAAACACTTTGCACATGTTCTGGAAATGTGTAGTTGCTTGCGGTGACTACCTGGCAGTACTACTATAGGTGGGTTCTCTGCAGAGGGGTACTGGGTTGCTCTCGCCAATAAACCTGCTGCGGTTCAAGCCAATTAGAAGACCCTACAGATCCAACTGTTCATTTGCGCGGCTGCTACCGAGACATCCTGACATATGCAAGGTGTGAAGGAGTGGAGATATATTTTAAAAGGGAGGGAAATGGACAGCTCCTCCTGCCCCCTCATGAGAAGTCATGGGGAGCAGAAAGGCTGCCTGTCCTCCCACGCCCCATGGGACAAAGCCAGTGGGATCAGTGCCCTTGCCCCCCTCCACCCAAGCTAAGCAGATGCAGCCCCACCTGGTGTGGCCTTCCCCAGGGCTTGGCTCCATGGAAGTCAGTGCAAATGGCTTGCAAGTGAGGCCCGTGAAGATGGGCTGAGTAGATGTGCATTTTAGCAAGCTGCTTCTTGAGCAAGAGGGCAAAGGAGTAAGTAGGAAGGCAAGGAAGGGCACTGCAGAATATGTTTTCAAAGGGGCATTTGCAAAACAGAGGGAGAGAAGCTGCGGGGAGGGAGGCAGGAAAGCAACTGAGGGGTCTCTGAATTGCTGCCCTCTGTCACCCTCCAGCCCCACAGCTCACCAGTTGACTGAAACCTTTCAGTTGGAAGCTGTCCAGAGACGCAAGTAATGGACGGCGTACAAATTTTATAAATAAACAAACCTCTCCTCCTGGCCCCAGAACAGTGCTACAAATCCTGAAAGGGAGGGGGGGGGGGGGGGGAGCTATGAGAAAACCATAACATCTATCAAAAACTGTAATTTAACAGTTCCAAAGAAATCCAGGACATATTGGCAGTCATAGTACAAGAAGGAGAGGCTGGAGCGAGCATCAAGCGATCTGCCAGTGAGTCAGGCATTGCAATACCAGTCCAAATGCCTCCTGCAGATTGCCCCCAGATCTCAATACCTGAATTTAGAAGTTTGAAATCCAGAGTTCAGAGTGAAACTAAGCCGTTATTCTGTACCTACTCATGGTGCATGTTTAGACAGTGATGGGGAAATCCAAATAAGCCTTTATAGAGAAAGGTTGCTTATATGTGCCTTTGTGATATAAAATCAAACGTGCAGTGTCTCTGCTCCTCTTGCCTGGAAAAAAACAGAATTCTCAGCCAGGCCCCCTTTCCCCTGACATTTTACTATTCATCTGTCCCTTTAAGAGACTGGGACTCTCAGCTCCTCTGAGGCAACTGCTACATTGTGTTGCAAATACAGCTCTTAAGGAAAGGTACTTTGTGTCAGTTCTTCTGCTGGCTGCACAAAGCTTCTTTGGGTTTTCTTGTGTTGCAATCATGTTCAAGCTCACACCCAAGACCTGTTATGATTCAGTCTTACTGATTGTCATGTTAATACTTTGTAATCACCAATATTTGCTGTACTATTGTGTCATGTCCCCTCTGCAGCTCTTTCATATTGTTTTGACCATGAATATATTATGTACCCATTCTTCCCTCATCATCTGCCTTGTTCCTGTGTACCTGACTAGAAATCTATAAAACACTCTGTATATGTTCTGGAAACTTGTAGTTGGTGGGCATACCTCTACACTGCAGTGCTGTTCGTGCAGGTTTGTCTCTGCAAAGGAGATTGCTGGGTGTTCTCACCAATAAAATGCTGCGGTTCGTAACAAAGGCCTCCCTCCCTGTGGATCCAAGAGTACATTCTCATGGGGTGCTGAACCGGAATTCCCTGACAACAGAAAGAAGTCCAAGAACGCCCGGCTTGCCATGTTTACATGAGACTGATACCAACTGAACCACAGGCTCAACAGATCCTGTTGAGCTGAAACACTTGATCAAGAAGAGAGTGCAAGGTTGTAAAAGCAACTAATGCACTGAAAAGGCTTTTTTTAAAAGCTGAGAAACAGTGGGATCCCGGATGCTTCCTTCAGAAACACAGGACAGAAACATGGCCAGTGTAAACTGCTTTAGTTCCGCTATCTGTATTGAAAAGATGCAGATTTATTTAATCCACTTAGGGGTATGGCTATCAGGTTGCTCTGGCTGGCATAAATTATGATGGATGGCAAATGGAAGAGGGGTTTTCTGAGTGGCTGCACCCCATTTATGGAACAGCCTTCTGAGAGCAGTTTGCCTGGCGCCGTCATTACAATCTTTATTCTCCAGACATTTTAATAATTGATTTTAAAAATCTGATTTCATATTGTGCAATTTTAATAGCACTGTTTAGATTGTTCTTTGGTTTAATAAATTATTTTAATCTATTTATATCTGACGCCTCAGCAGCATCTTGTGATTGTTATATGCTTAACAGATGTTGTTTTTATCGGTATTTTTGTAATCCGCTTAGAGAGTCCTTGGGACTAATTTAATGATGAATTATTTACATAAACTATTAATTTATTGAATAAACAAATAAAACTATTATTATTACTATTATCACATTTATTTCCCAACTTTTTACCTCTTGTGAGGAGCCCAAGCTGGCTTACTTATTTCTCCTCCACTCTGCTTTTATCCTCACAACAACCACATCCCTGTGAGGTAGGTTAGGCTGAGCATGAATGACTGGCCCAGAGTCACCCAGTGAGCTCCATGGCCGAGTGGGGACTCGAACCTGGAACTCCCAGGCCTCCAGTCCAGCACACTCAGTACTACACCATACTGGTTGTCAAGGCATTGATGGGAAGCTGGCAGCTCCGGCAAATGGGTTCTGTGGACAGAAAGAGCTCTTCTCAACCAGAAACTAAAGCCATCGGAAAAGGCCACTGTACAATTCAGCAGAATGAGCTCTTGCAGAGCTTGTAAGATGAAAGCTGCAATATAGTTTCTGAGTGGCATTACGCTTTAACTACTGCAGATACAGGGCAATGCAGCATGGGAAGCACAGCACTCGTGAAATTCTCTTTGCAATTAAAAAAAAACGGTGTAACTTGCAAAACTTGGAGACAGCGCAGTGCTTTAGGACTCTATCTGGCAAGTCTAATGGAGCGATATTTTGCAAAGCAAGTGAGGACAGCACAAGATGTGCTCTAGGCTGACCACCCATATGACCAAGGAAGCTGAGAAAAGGAAGTATCTGTTAACCCTTAAGGCCTAATTGACTTTACCAGTGCTTGCTTTTCAGGGGGAAGGTGAAATTGCTCAAAACAGGCTTCATAGGATATTAAAACTTGGGGAATCCGTTCTCCAATAGGGTGGCCAATGTCTTTGACAGGCTGCTCCGTTGCCAGCACTGACATGCAAAATTTTTAGCAGCTGAAGCTTTTCCTGGCCTAGAAATAACCTGATGGGAAAAGATTTTATTCATGGGTTTTTTTCTTTATTATTTTAGGCTGCTGCTAAACAGCAGGGCAGCTGGTAATTTCAGTTACTAGATGCTTAGTACTTCCTCAGCTTTTTTAATTTAGTCAATTTATATCCCACCTTTCTGTTCTAATCAGTGCACCCAAGGCAGCTGAAGAAGCAGGAGATGTTATGGCCTGGAATGTGTGTGTGTGTGTGTGTGTGTGTGTGTGTGTGTGTGTGTGTGTGTTTGTTTGTTTATTTATTTATTTATTTATTTTCTGGTCACCTAGGCCTGATGGGAAAGTAGACCACATGTATGTGTTGTGAAGGCAGTTAGTACACATTCTTGAGAAGACTTGGGATCTAGTAAATCATACCTATCTGTGATAACCCAGGATAAAACCCATGCGTCTGTTGTAGTTTACATTTTGCTTGTCTGTGCCTGTTGTAAAGACAACATCAAAGCTAGCAGATTGGATGAGTTTGCATTAATCGGTGCATCCATGAGTGTTGCAATTTACACACGCAGTAACTAGATAGGTTTCCATTTCCCTCTGTATAACGAAGGAATGTTATATAAGCAAGTGGCTTTTCCTTGTGGGTGGAGACACCGGTTGCTCTCAGGAGATGGCCTGTCAGTTTCAGCTCTCTCCCCTGTAGCTGCTGGTGTACAGCCTTTGCTAAACCTACTTACCTGGCTGAACCTAAATGCAGAGAGCAGTTCTGTTTCTTCTGCACAGCTTATGAAGCATAATATTGAAATGTTAACATGACACCCCCCAAGCTATTAAAAAGATGCAACAATGAAAAAAGAAGCAGCAGCCAAAAATGGCACTGAGTATTTTAGGAAGCAGGAAAAAAATAATGAGACAAATAATTGTTGGAATAAAAAAGTCTTCATGAGGTGGTGAAAATGCACCAGGAAATAGATAGGACTGAGCTTCCCGAGCAGAAGTTTCTATTGCCTTGGTACTGCCATAGAGAGAGCCCATTTTATGTCCAAACACAGTATGCAAGTTGGCTTTGGAACAATTTCTGCTCAATGGCTAATGTCCTAAATAGAGAAGACA